AGCTTTTTGTCTGAGCTTAAACCAAAATTATTTCGGTTCAGTTTAACTTGGTTAGTTGAAATTATAGTTTAAAGGTTAAACCGTTAAAGTTACACTTCGGTTCAATTTTCTGTATTTTTGCCACACTCACTCTCAATCTCACACATACTTTAAAGAAACCAGAGATATGAGAATTATTGAGGGAACAAGTGTAGTTATACTTATACGAAAGAGTTTCCTAATTTCTACATCTCTCTCTATACACATTACATGTGGCTTACTCTCTTGATAAATCCCAGAGTCTCCTCTCCATTTTCTTATGAATGTTTCAATACCCAAAAATAATAATCAAACTTTCAGAAGAAAGAGATTAAGAGACAGGTCATTGGCTAGTTTAACCATCTCTTGCCTCTCTCAAGCTTCCATAAGTTTATTCTTGTTTCCCACTCTTGTGAAAAGCTTTATGAGATAAAATCTTCTGCTTCTACGCACAAAATCTTTTACATCTGTACAAATTAAACGGAATAAAGGTTGAGAATTTGAGTCAGATAATGTAATCTAAGAGCTGAGAAATCATAAACATACCGAGCAGGTTATTAAGCTGTTCCAGTGATGAGTTTTTCACGTTGATCGAATTTCTTGACCTTTATAACTCCGATAAGAACTTGGAGGCTGAAGAAAGCACATACTGTATATGCTATAGTAGCTGGTGTCTGAGAAGAGAACACAAAGAAACAATGAAATTTAGCAGACAGTGAGGTTAAAAGGTTAAGAACACAAGAGATTAGGGTTGATGAGTAGCAAACAACTTACTTTTAAAGAATTCAGATACAAAATCGTTGCAAGATTGACTAAACTTCCTGCCGCAACAGCCTGTTGGGAAACGCATGAGGTTAAAGAAAAGAGACAAAAATAAACCAACTTTTAGCACATTAAACAGAACATGTGGTGTGCTTTCAAAGTTTAGGATTCTTTGTTTTACTTACACTTCCTACTGTTTTTTGAACAGCTGCTACGCGTTGAAATGCCCTCTCAGACTCTAGCGCTCGGACCCTAAGCTTCAAATCACCTTGCTCCTGTGGTAACAGACACAGAGATAAATATTTGATCACCAAAAAGAAGACTTCATGTAGCTTAGGAGCTTGTGGAACTGTTAAGTATCTTACAAGTCGTTGGATGATTGCAGCTAGCTTTTCAACTCTATCAGCTTGTCTAAACAGATTGTAGAATGCTTGTGATTGCCTGTCCCATCTCTTCCTCAGGTCCTACAATAGTTTATTTGATTGAATATGAATATAAAGCTATAATAACATCATATGAGGAGCAAAAGATAAGCCTTCTTGTTATTACCTTCACTACGACTTCTACTCCAGCTTCCCGGAACCGTAGCAATTCCAAAGCATAGCTGCAGAACAAAAACATTTGAGTACTCTTTAACAAGAAGATATAATATAAATAGTGGGTAGTGTGTAGACTCACGGTTTTGCAATCTCCGTTATATCAAATCGAGGGTCAAGACCTTTGCCTATGCCATCCAACACTGCAGAGAGAGTGAGAGAGTAAGTAACCATTCCCTAACTATACTTGTTGAATTTGAACACGGAAACATGAAAAGAAAAATGATAATTACAAACCTGAAAAGGCTCTAACAACAAATGTGAATGTGGCGGGGAAGCGGAAAGGTTGATCAGCTGCAATGGCTAATAAGTCTTCTCCAATTGCAGCCAACCTTTGCTTCTTTTTCTCTTGCTTTTCCTCCTTGCTTAGTGGCTTCTTAAACCCAAGCTGTTCTGCTGCTGCTATTTCTTCTTTCTCCTTTCTCTGTGCAGCAAGCCGCTCTTCGAAGCTGTATTACACAATCAGTAATAGATAGACTCAGAGGATACTATTATGCCACACCACTCTCACACATACTTTACAGAAAAAACAAGAAGCAAGTATTCAACAGTAAGATAAATAGATGCAAGGATAGAGTAAATTACCTGTTGAGAAAAAACAGTGCTGTTCTTCTGACTGACGTCAAATCTCCAGTTGGTACAAGCACACCCATTTGAACCATAGCTTGAATGACCTGCCACAAGAAGGTTTATATTGGTATACAAAGCGGCATGGATGTAGAAGATCGAAAGTGAGAACACCATAGAAAGTATACCTTATCTGGATCCTTTTCATAGACACCGTAAAATGCCTCCAATAAACCTTCTCTAATATTTGGGCTGATACTGCAAGAAACAATAAAAAAGGATTGGGCATCATATATATCACTTAGCTGCTTTGCCTTTGTCATGATGAAGCAGTTTTTCACATAGTAACAGAATCCTGTTTTAGTACCTTCCCATCATTCCAAAGTCGTAAAATATCAGCCTCCCGCCATTGACATCATCAACCGCAATATTCCCAGGGTGCTGCAGAAAGATACATAAGCAAATTAGATTGTAGTCTTTTTGTCTCAGTACACTCAATGAAAGATAACTGACAGAAGAGAGTTACAGGGTCGGCGTGGAAGAATCCATGAGATAAGATTTGCTCCAGGTAAGATTCAACAGCATATCTCCCTAGCCTGCATTGTACCAAGTTATGTATAAGCAACAAAAAGTATTTTGGCTTCAAAGAGAACAAGATGTAAGAAAAATACAAACCTTTTTCGATCAACACCTAACTGATCTAAGGCTTGTATCTTGTTAATCTTAATCCCAGGGACATACTCCATTGTCAGGACCTGCAAAGAACCAAATGTATAAGTACCGTATTCGAGCTTAAGGCTTTATATACGATGAAATAATGATCATAAGTAATAATAAAAATACCTGAGGTGTGGTGTATTCCCAGTAGATTGATGGGACTTTTACATATTCTAAGTTTTTGAAGTTATTAGCAAAGAGTTCCGAATTAGCTGCCTCCTTTGTGTAATCAATTTCCTAAACAATATAGCACATTGTTATTACTAGTTAGAGGTCACTTGAACTGAGGCAACTAAGCTTCAATACATAACATAAACCACATCGCAGTACCTGGTACAATACACTGGCACATTCATCATAGATTGCAACCCAATCTCTCTTTGCACCATCTGATTTTGGATCCACCTTTTGGAGGTACTCAGCAATCACCTAATAGAAGCACAACAATATCAAAAACTCAACAGAACATCATACAACAACTTGAGAAAAGCAGAAGCAAAGCATGAGACAAGTAGGCTTGCAACAAGAGTGTGGAAGAGACACTAACCCTTAAATTCTTAAGGTCAATATCAAATAGATCCTTCAAGCCGGGTCTCTGTACTTTAAGAACTACTTCTTGACCCTTTAATCTTGCACGGTGAACTTGGCCTGTACTTATCAAGAACAAAACAATTATTATAACTATCATTTTCTTGCAATGTTATTATCCACATCATATAAGAAGAAGACTATCACAAAGACTTTACCAAGACTAGCTGCAGCTATAGGTTCATAATCAAAACGGTCGAAGATGTCATCAACAGATCCTCCAAGCTCCTCTTCAACAATCGACAGAGCTGTAGCAGAAGAGAAAGGAGGAACTTGATCCTGCAAACATAAGATAAAAACCTAAAATTGCCACACAAGCACTATACAGAACATTCACTTTGGAGACTGCATATGAAGAAACCAAACCTGAAGCTCTGACAATTGATCAACATACTCCTGAGGAAGAATGTCCACTCTGGTAGAAAACTGTTGCCCAATTTTAATAAAAGTAGGACCTAATCTCAATATGTTTTCCTTCAACCACTTTGCTAAAATCTTCCTTCTTAACACCTTCTTCTCCTCAGTCATTCCCCCTAAAACACAAAATCTGAGCAAATGAGAAACGTAACAAAAACTAATAGTATAAAGTGAAGCAAATGATAACAAACCTTTGTATGAAAATTTCTGATTGCTCAACCATGTCCTAAAGATAAACGTTACAACAAATCCCCAAATCTCCAGTGTTCTCTGTATCGTTGAGTAAGTCTTGAATCTACTCCATCGTCCACCAGGTGCAACAGAAACCTTGAAAACAAAATTTCATGAAACAGAATCAATAAAAAAAAAACGAGTTTGATTAACAAAAGAATATTAATTTAATGTTTTTCTACCTCAACTTGTTTTTGTTGTTGGCTCTTCTTAAACCAAGCATCCTCTTGACCAATATCTTCTACTCTCTTCTGCCTCACTTCCTCTTTTCTCTTCTTTGACACTTCCTCCGTTTCCACCGTCACGCTTCCGTTCACATACTTCACCAAACCACCGTTACCGTTACCGTTTAAAATGACGCTTCCGTTGTTGTAATCGGATTTTCTCGCGGCTCCGTTACCGTTTAAACGGACACTCCCGTTAACTCGTTTGATCACTGCGTTTTGTCGATCTTCGACTGCGACATTATCGTCTTTAGCAGCTCTGATTCGAAGCGGGAGGTTGTGATTGTAGCTCAATCGATTCCTGGGTAAGAAAATCCCGGGGATTGAAACGGAACGAGTGATTGAAGACTGCCTGGAATTGAAATTGATGTTCGGTAACAGGAGAGACGACGATGGAGAAGTAGTAGAAGAAGAAGCCGCCATTGATTGTGATTCTTCAGAGGAGATCCTTAATTTTCCATGGACGATTTGCGTAGAAAAGGTAAGAAGAGATTTGAAGAAGAAGAAGACTTGATTGTTGGCACTTTGCAGAGAGAGGTTTAGAGGCTCTGGAGGAAGCAGAGCAATGTAAAATTTTTAAAAAACAAAATGATAAATTAAAAGGGGTGGATATGAAAAGGACACGTGGCGTAAGATTAGATGAGTGAAGGCAGATGTTCCCGTGTTCTGATTGGTCTGTTTTTGACACGTCATGTTATCAGAGCCACAAAGAAGGCGTTAGTTTTTTTTTACATTGCGTTATATGTTAACTTAACAAATAAGGAACTTAAAATCAAAATGGTAACCGTATGTCGGTCTTGGTGCTCTATAACCCTAACCCTAACCCTAACCCTAACACTAAAAGCTATGTACGGATCTTTGAGAGTATTGTGAATTTGGGATGGAGATGAAGCAGCAAAACCCTAACCCTAAACCTTGTACCAAGTTACGCAGACGAGCTCCATCGATATCCTGGTTGAATCTTCCTGGGGATCTGTTGAATGCAGTGTTTGAACGCCTTGGCTTTGCTGATGCTCGACGAGTTGAATCCGTATGTCGGTCTTGGTGCTCGGCGGCGAGACAATGCTCGGCCAAGAAGCAGATCCCTTGGCTGATTCTCTTACCAGAGGAAGACGACAAGATCGAACGCCACTGGTGCACGCTGTTCAATCCCGAGGAAGAAGGCAAGCTCTACAGAATGCGAGCTGACGTGTTCGAGTTCGCAAACAGCGCTTGTTTAGCAACTCATGGAAACTGGCTCCTCATGGTCGATCACTGGTCTGAGCTCTACATTCTGAATCTGTTTACGCACGAGAAAATCTATTTACCGGAGGTGGAGTCACAACTTGGAACGACACAGCTGGAGCTAACCTCCTCGAGAGGTCGGTTTTGTCTTTCGAACGATCAGCTTCAACGCCCAATGAAGCTCAAAGGTATTAACGATGTTATGCATTCCCCTGTGTTTTGGATTGACGAGCAAACCAAAGAGTATGTAGTTGTATGGGGACTTGGCGAATGGTGTGTGGTTTATGCCAAGAAAGGAGATGTCTTCTGGAATCAGATTCAAATGCCCCCCCCCCCTTCCAGATTTCGCTGATCGTTTTTTTGACATGGTTTACAAAGATCACAAGCTTTACTTCCTCCTACATACTGGTCGACGTAGTCATAGTACTGGTTTTATCAAAATATTCGATTTCTCCCAAGAGATTCCGCAAGAGACTTTTCACTGTGGTGTTACCTCCGACACCTCTCCACTTGTACTTGATCCAACAACAAGCGATTTAGATCCATGGCGGGTTTGGGCGACAAAACTTGTAGTCACAGTAACCGGACATGTCCTCAAGGTTGTAAAATTGTTCAAGCCTGGACAAGGTGGAGCTTTGCGTCTTTGGTCTTTCCGCGTCTACAAGGTTTGTTCATCAGGTTTCTCTAACAAGTATGCTGAACCGGTTGCTTCTTTGGGCCACGAGGCAATGCTTTTTTATCTTGGCTTTACTGTGCTCGCTGATGATGGCCTTGTGGGTTTTAAGAGAAACTCCATCTACTTCAATGTTGTTTGTCAGATGTTTCACACTACTCAAATGTGTGTCTTTAATCTCGAGACACAGGAGATGGAGGAGCCACTGCCCAAGTTTGTTTGTTCGTCCTGGCAACAACGCGTCAGATCTCGATGGTTCCTACCAAGTTTCAAGCAGACATAGTTTATCTTGTTGTTTTTTGTTTTAATACTCTGCTATAAGTCTATAACATCACAACTGATATGCTGTGTGATGGGATGTGGTTTGGTTAATTATGTTGTGCAACATAAAAATAACAATAGTAATAAGAATCTATCGGTTATTTGGAAATAGTGTTGGTTATGTGTATTTTTTTGACCCCGGTTTGAAAGATTATTGTTGCTCTGTTTATAAATCTTAGGTCAAGCGGAAGGATGTAGAGAAATGTGTCTCATAATAATAACTCAATTTGGTCTCTTGTACAGAACAAAGAGAATGTCAATAACTTAAAATTAAACAAAGTAGAAAATGTATATGTGAGGTAGGACAATGATTTCATTCCTCCATAGCTTCTCCAGCCACTTGTACAAAACAGCAAGAAGAAGAAGAAGAAGAAGAAGAAGAAAAAGAAGAAGAAGATGTAATTAAACCAAATTCATCACTTGAAGAATCAGGACAGAAACCAGAAACGAATCAAGTGTTGCAACAAGTAGCTTCTTACCAGTTTTCTTGGTGAATGAATAGCCTTTGCTGCTATAACATAGATCACTGAGATTGAAAAACAAGTTGGCATGAATGAGAAGCCATGACCACTCCATTCAGTTCGCTGAGCATCTCTCGTCTTCTTGCCAGCTTGAAATGCATCTTCGCTTCAATCGGAAACGTGGTGAAAGTTGCCTTCTTCAAACATATTGCGTTCCTTAGAATGTAGAAAGCAACTTCCTTCTCTTCTCCTCTTATCCAATCGTGTCTTGTCCACACGAAAGTCTCCAGACTGGACAACAAACATTCAGGCACACACTTTGGCTCATTCCATTTCCCAGCCTTCATATATTTTTTTTCCTCAATCAGACTATGCTGACGACCCGAAGCCTACACAAAGTGGTCAAAATCAACATATGTTACTAACTAACACACCGCCTTCAAAAATCATCAAACTAATCACGATTGTTTCATTACTTACATCAATGAGCTTGAGGACTTGTAGCTTAGGAGAGCTATCAAGCATGATCGTAAGTAGATTCCACCACTCGACTTTATGAGTATACATCTCTAGACTCACCAGCTGATAGAAGCTAACTCCACTTGGATATGTTATCTATATTCATGAGAGACACTCATTAGTAGTACAATATACAAAAAAAACAGAACAAAACACAAGTCAACTGCTCTAAGCCTCTAAGAAGGTTACCTGCAAGGGTGATAAGTCCAAGCATAGACGTTTGGCTGAAGTGAGAGATGCCATAATCGACTCATTGGCTATAGAAACAACGTCTCTAATCTTTGCCTCGACTAGCTGATCAGACGCATTCTCAATCAGACAAAACTCATAACGTTCTAGCTTTTCAATGTCCAAGTACTTCAAACAAGGAGCGTTGATCACATATCCTTTGTCCCCTCGTCCATTCATGGGATCGTAAAGCGATAGTGTCTTCAAAGATGGCGCCACGATGACGAAATGCTTCACATCATCTTTAAAATAGCCTCTACGCACTACCAAATGTTCAAGATTAGAGCAGCTTGATAAGAGGTTACCGACAGATGATTCGTCTTTGTACGTCACGGAATCAAGGTGAAGCGTTTTGAGCGACTTCATGGGAACGGGACAAGGAAGATCTAGAAGAACGTAATCCTTGAGTTTCAATGTCTCGAGTGTATCAAGACAGAACAAGCAGCTCGGGAATCTGACTGGTTTGCCACTGCCGAGACTGAGTGCGAACTCACGCACGTGGCGTGTCATTGCGATTCCGGCCCAGATTCCGATATACACATCCTCGCATCTATCTCTAACTTTCAGATGCAGACTCTCCAAGACCGGAGCTTTATGCGAGAGCAAAGCGTTGCAAACATTCTGTATGTTCCCGTAAGATTCAAACTCGAGTTTCGGTACCTTTTTCCAAACAGACCGCCATTGTTTGGACAGAACACTTGTGGATATGACGAGTTTTGTTGGGAGTAAAGACAATATCTTTAGAGCCAAAGGTTCAGGCAAATCACTGATCCTGTCCACACCTCGCTTTTTCAAGCTTCCACCACTAAAAAATCAAATGAAGAACATATAAAAGAGTGAGGATTTGAAGCTTACGGTGAAGAAGAACAGTCACAGAGAAAGACAAAAGGCATAAACGAAACAGAGAAACAAACCTTTGTTCCATTTTCGATTGTAAATCCTTCAGATTCCTTCCTTCCTTCCCAAATTCTCCTAATCGCACTCCAAAGACAAACGAGAAGTATTGAGAAAAACGAAATCGAAAGATTTAAGAAGAAACTAGGGCTTCATCCAATTGATTTCGGTTTTGTTCGGGCGGGATTTAAAGCCGTACCGAATCCAACGTGGTTAACTGTTAAATTAAATTTTAAAACTGGTCGGGTTTAAATCGAGCCAAATTGAATCCAATCAGCTCCCAAGAAAACACTGTTACGGATCAGTCTCTCAACTAAACCCAACCGGTCTGAAATTGAACATCCGGTTCGGTTTCCATTATAAGTAGAAAAATGAAAGATGATCATACCAATATTAAAATGTAAATAAATAATTTTTCAATAGTTTTTTAGAAGAATTCATTGAACCTAATTTTTTGTTAAGCGAACAAAATCAATTTAATTAAACCAAATTTCAAAAAGTCGTTTCCCAAAATAGGAGAATTCGAAATTCGAAACTTTTCACTAGACGAAGCGGCGAAAAAATCATACAAGTTAAATACTTTGTCATAGTTTCAATTAACCCCACAACTTATGTTTATTGCCTATGGAAGCCCTCCTCCTCCCTCCTTCGCCGGAACCCAAAAATCCAATCACCGATCCGGCGGATACAAAGGCGAATCACCAGCCGGAGCATTTCCGGGAAGAATCCAATGATGAGTCGGTGAAGAAGAAGATGAAGCTATCGAATTTAGAAAAGAGAAAGCTCAAGGGAAAGAAGAAAGTTATAATCAACAACGACGAGGCGTCTTCCTCTTGTTCATCATCATCTACCTCAAACCTCAATTCCACTCGAAGGGTTTCTCGAGTGGCTCATAAATTGCGAAACCCTCCGGTGCGGTTAGCTATGGCTCGACGAAGCGTCGGAGAGCGACAAGCCGAAGCCTTGGCGCTTCCTCTGGGCATGTCATTTGCGGCTTTTGCCAATCTGGTACGATCAATTTCCAAACTTTCATCCCTTTTATCAATCACACGGCTCTGTTTTTCTCTCTTTTGATTCGAAATTGGCATTTGATTTATCGTTAGGCATTGTTTCAATTTTGTTCCTATAGTTGACCTTAGCGTGAAATGTAAGCTGTATGTGCTTAAAAGCTCGCATCTTTCGGGAAACAATTCAACGAGTATTTGATCTAAAGTTCTTTTAACTTTAGGTTCTGTAACTAAATCAGAGACGACGGATTGAATCAGAATTTATTGTTTGATAGCCGAAGAGAGGATCTTCTCCTTCAACTGCTGAAACAGAGTCAATCAGTTGAAGCTGAATTTCTTATTTGGGATCCATAAGTAGCTTTAATGAAGCAATACAATCTCTACTCTGGCTCAATTGAATTGTCTCGTCTCTCACTTTTCTTAAAGCTTGAGCCTTTCTTACAATTGCATTGTCTCGCCTCTCACATTCGAATCAGTACCAAAATTCAGTCTGAAACTGTTACTGGTTAGCTACTTAGCCACCAAAGTCATTGACTTGCATTGCTCTGTAATTTTGAACCGTTTTTGTCTGTTTTCATGTTCCGTAGGTTCTTGAGAGAAAGAGTGCCTCTGGCCAGAATGTATATGTTGATGATCTTGCAGTGGTTAGTAATACTAAGACCTATCAAATGGTTTTTTTTCTCAGTTTTTTTCCTATCTCTCTGTCAAATGATGGTAACACAAGTTTCACTGATTATGATGCTCTGCAGATTTCAGCTTCCGCAGTGAGAGAATCTTTAGCCAACGTAAGCTAAAAAGTCCCCTGATTGTCTCTCATTCTTCGATTTATAGACTTGTCTTTGATTATAATGAAGTGATTTTACAGGTTTATGGTAATCAGCTTGGTTCCTTTGCGACCAACTTCGAGAGATCATTCAACAGTACTCTAAAGATCCTCAAAGTGATCAATTCATCTCCATTCCCACAACAGCTTGACAATAACAACGTTGGGAGTTATGATATAGACCGTTCTACAATAGACGGAAGCTCTGACTCAGAGCTATCTGCAAATGAAGCGATTCAAGGCAATGCAAGAACAGCCTCTCCGACGACGAACGAGATTGTCCTGCACGAAGAGACTCGGCAACAACTCTCTGGTATCTCTAGAAGCTCAGGAGCAATGTCTTGGACCATAGCCGAACGGTCTTTAGAAGAGCAAGCACGAGCGAACGACCTAAAGACGATGGAGATTGGTCTTACAATGAGGAAGCTACGGTTGAAAGAGACGGGTCTAGCGCTAAGCCACGAATCGAACAATCTCGAGAAGTCGAAGATAGAGATGAATGTCTCGAAAGCCGCATTCAGAGCAGAGAAATACAAAACAGAATTAGAAGACACGACGAAAGGTGAAATGGTTACAAAAATCATGGACTGGCTCGTCGTGAGTGTCTTCAACACTTTGATTACCATGTTGTACGGCGCTTACGTCTTCTCGCAGCAGAGGATCATGGAAGCTACCTCGATATGCGAACCGTCCGAGGAGTCGAGCTCTTCGTCTTCTTGGTGGGTTCCTAAACAAGTCTCGTCGATCAACACAGAGTTTAACATGTTGATTTGCCGGCTACGAGTTTGGGTACAGAGCTTCTTCGGCGTGTTGATGATCCTCGTCTTCACTTACTTCATAATCCAACGCTCCTCAGGCGCGAAGCAGGCGATGCCGGTTACGTTCATCGTTCTCTTCCTCGGCGTTGTTTGCGGTTTACCTGGTAAGTTCTGCGTGGACACGTTGGGAGGTGACGGTAAACTCTGGCTGCTTCTTTGGGAGATGTTTTGCCTTTTGCAGTTTCTTGCGAATGTCTTCACTTTGGGTTTGTATGGTTTGCTTTATGGTCCGAGAAGAACCGTGTCGCATGGGGTTGGGTCGAGCCGTTGTAATAACGTTATGTTTCCGTATTGGGTGAGGCGGAGTTTCTTCTTTGTATTGATTTTGTTTGTACTTCCGGCGAGTAACGGTCTTTTGCCGTTTGCTGCATTTGGTGAATGGAAAGACCATTTCGGTGTGGTTGTGTCTGAGCTTCTTCGTGGTGGTGGCTCGGGCTCTGATGTTTGAGGTGAATCCTCTTTTGTATGATTATTTATTGTACGATTGTTGTATGAATCTTGTATTTGTGGGGGTCTTTCATTTTTGGTTTGTTATATGGATGTTGTCGAAACAATGAAATCGCATTGCGAAGTTATATATACTTGTTTGTTTATAAACGTTCAAATCAACTCTTGGGAGCTCTCTATTTGACTGTACAGAAGAAAACAAAAACACCATGAAAAATAGCAAAGTTACTGATAATAATTTTGAAGTTTTGAGATTGGAATTTTTGTTATTCAAACTCAGTTTGTTTAATTTGGATTGAACAGTTTGATTAGTATTATGAGAGAGACGGAAATAAAAAAGGAATTCTAATATTGTGGGTGGGCGGGTGGGGTAATGAATGCGATAATATATGTCTTAGTTAGATAATACGGAGACCTTTTTCTGTTTTTTCCATCCACTATCGGCTTATCGGATCCGAATACGGACCCGAAAGCCCAATAACCCGACGGAAGAACGATGTCGGAATCTCCGGATGGCGCAGTCGCGTCGCACTGGTGCTACCACTGCAACAAACGCGTCCCCGTGGAAACGCTTGACGACTTCGTCGTGTGCTGCGAATGTAACAAAGGTTTCGTCGAGTCAATCCAGCCGATCCCCGCCGCTTATTCTTCGCCGGCGGCGCCACCGCTGCCGCTTTCCCCAGATCTGAATGTAGAAGACTCGAATATTGGCTCGCATTTTCTGCAGATGCTCCGTCTGTTGGCCCACGCGCCTTCGCAGCGGTCTCCGCCACAACTCGATGTATTGCCTTACGAAGATGAATTTTTCAGATTGGAGCTCAATAGTAGAAACGAAATCGAAGATGAAGAGGAAGATGAGGATGACGGAAATGAAGAAGAGGAGGAGGAGGAAGATAATCTAACCGTCAACGACGAAGAAGATGACGATGATGATGAAGAAGAAGAAGGAGAAGGTGGTGGTGTAAGGATGTTCCATCAACCGAGGATATTCCCTCTGACGACGCGATCGAGAACAGGACGAAACAGAATTCTGGATTGGGCTGAGATTCTGATGGGAATTGAAGACAATTCGATCGAGTTCCGTATGGAATCAGATCGATACGCAGGAAATCCTGCAGATTACATCGACGACGCAGCTGGGTACGAAGCTTTGCTTCAGAATTTAACGGAAGGGGATGGTGGAAGGAAAGGAGCACCGCCGGCTGCGAAATCGGCGATTGAGGCCTTGGAGACTTTCGAGGTTGGTTCTTGTGACAAGGAAGGAGAGATGGCTGTGGTTTGTGCTGTGTGTAAAGATTCGATGGTGAAGGGTGAAACAGTAAAGAAGCTGCCTTGTGGGCATTGTTACCATGGGAATTGTATTGTGCCGTGGTTAGCAACGAGGAACTCTTGTCCTGTTTGTAGATTCCAGCTTCAAACTGATGATGCTGAGTATGAGGAAGACAGGAAAAGAACAAGTACTAGTGCTGCTGCTTCTTCTTCTTCGGCTTCTCGTTTCTAACGTGAAAGGTCTCTCTCTATTTATCCCTCTTGTTGTTGCCACATTCTCTTCTCTTTACATTAAACACTTTGATTAGTCTCAACACTGATTCGCTTGCAAATTAGTGAAATACCGGTTTCTGATTGCATTAAAAAAAAAGTCTTATCAAGAGAATTGAGAATAGAAAGAAGCCAAATCCGGCTCCAACAAAAGAAAGTTTGCGGATAAGTGTTTCATCCTCCTACTGGTTTCTTTGAATTTTCAGTTGTTTTTAAAGTTTGCCGAAAAGAAAAGGATCTCCTGATTCATGGGTCTTCGAGTATGGAGAAGGATCATAGGACTTGGTGAGCCTTGCCGAAGTACCTGTTGATAAACGAGGACTGCAAAAGATATATATATATATATATATATATATAATCAGACTCCATAGCTCTTTTTGTAAAAGCATATAGGAGATTGTATTTGTGTTGTTGTACCTTGTCGATTGCTGATAGGTCGGGTGTATTTGGTGAAGGCGATGGATAAAACTTGTACAACTTCATTTCTTTATAGGCTTCTTTTGTTGCTTCGCTCATTTCTTCCTTTGCTTTCTCTCGGGCTTCTTCCGCCTGCCAATTGTAGAGATTCACTGGTTAAGCATTTATAAATGTGCGTTATCAACGAAGGTCTCTGTTGTGAGTTAGTTATCAATCAATACCTCTCCATGAGCTTTCTTAGCTTTGTCAGCTTGCTCTTTGACAAACTCCTGAAAAAGAAAAGGAAACACGTCTGAGTGATCAGAGAAAACCTTAAAAACGCTTTCATCAATTACTTCCAATTCTTGCTGACCTGGAATTCATCTTTCTGGCCCTTGAGCAATCCCTCCTTGATCAGATCGTCAGCGAGTACCTGAAATCAACCAGATGAGTAAGCTTTCTGACGGCAAAGGTAATTCAAGTCTGGAAAAAGTCAGACGCTGCACCTCAAGGTTATCATTCTCCCAGTCATATTCACATACAACCTGCACAATGGAGAAGAACATTGAGTTTGATCCAAAATAAAAATACACTGTATCCTCAACACACCACGTCCAAAAACAGCTTACTGGTGGCTCAGAAGGGAACGTTATTTGAACCACGGTGCTCTGCTCAGATTCATCTTCCTTAAACGGGTTGTTGATATCTGCAAAGAAAAAGTATAAAAGGTGATGTTTAGACCTTGGTGTTACGACCCATGGAATACAAAGAACCAGATAAGAACAGTGTATTATGAAAAACATAATTCAAACACATGAAGGACATGTTACTGAGAACCTATAATCTATAATAACCAACTATGCATCAAAATTTTAACTAGTCTTTGAGAGAATTTGCTCACAAGGAAGGCAATAGTTGAACTTTTTAACACGATCTTCCTTCAAATGTTTGAGAGCAGACCTGCAAAGAATATACAAACCTAAACTGAATACATTGTTATGCACTCTTAACTCTTTAACTCTTTTTTCTAACCATCTCCGTCTACAAAGCAAATGAACAAATAACGTCTTCAAACTTTCATGGTAGCAAGATACTGAGAGGAAACAACACCACATGTTATTTACCTTCTCTGCGTACAAGCCAAGATATAAATCTGAAAGTTCATTCTATCAACTTGTCTGTCCCTGTAGAAGAAGAAAGCAGAGGTAATCAGCAAATCCCGATAGACATCAAAAGTTAGTAGCACATAAACATAATATATGTTTCCCTTCTCATTAATAAGGGCCTTCCCAATAAAAGTAGGAACTCAGAGCGTCTATGTACCTTTTATCAAGCGGAATGTAAGGTTCCCAAGCCATTTTCATGACTTTCATTGGAGTTATTTCCGGCTCCTTGTCTTCAACCGATGAAATTCCTATCTTATCAGAAGGAGGAATGGATGATTCCACCTATCAATAGATAAGAAACAAAATTAACCACCAGGTGTAGATAAACAATTTGATCTTGTTTTTCCCCAAAATTCACCATCACATTGCCGAGCTTATCTTTCAATAAATCAGCATGATAGAAGATAAGAAGCCAAAGCTAACTTACACAAACGACTGCAGGAACAAGGACAGTCTTGGTTTCGTTTTTGTAAGTGACTAGGTGAGCTGCAACGGTAAGATAGAAGATAAGCAGTTAATCACCAAATCAAAAGGAGATACACAACCAAATGGATTTCAAGCAAATCAGACGAAAAGATAAATGTCTGTTTCATCAATGCCATCAAAGTAAAAGAAGAAAATAAACAGCTTACACTCTGCGCAGCCAAAGACATAGACCTTCTTCCCGTAGAGCTTTCCATCGTCCTCCAGCGCTTCCTGTCATACGAATCCAATAGAACCTCTTGTCAATTTTGTCACACAATAGAAATACTTTTGGAACACTCGATGAACAATAGATTCTGGAAATGGAACTTACTTCAAGGTTTGTGAAATCCCAGTTGAATTCATATAGATCATCCAGTTGACCCCACTGTTTTGACAATTTACAGAGCATTATCCATAAAATCAATCGATTAATAATGCAAAGAATATGTCAAAAAGAGCAATGTTGAAGCCAAACTTCTACAAATTTAATACCTCGGTACCCACTGGGAATGCATCTTTCCACAAATCCTCCTGAACACACAGAAACACATGAAAACCATTTGATTACTAAACGCAACAGAAATGTGGATAACGTATGAAAGCCATCTCATATCCATTTCTCTACCCCCCCCCCCCCCAAATGCGTAAAATCTTATCATACTAGCGTCAACATACAGCAAAATCCCCACCAAAATGCATAGATCCAATCTCAAAAATCTCAAGCCGTATACGTGATTACTTGAATAGCGGTAAATCTAACCAGAAGATGAGTAAAATCGCATACCAGATTGCGCTTCTCCTTGAAGTACTCAGGCTCAGCTGCTTGCGGCTTGGTCGCTCTGGCTCGCTTAGCTCGCGGAGCCGATTTGGTGTTCACTTTCTTCTCTGTTTCATTCGTCGTGGATCTCTTACGTTTACCATGACGAAGAGGCGTCTCGTTCTCCTCTTTCTTTTCGTCAGCTTGTGGTTGTGAAGAAGATGCACCTTTCGCCTCGACATTCTGATCCTTCTCCTGTTGCGATGAGGAATCAGGTTTCGCTTGTTCTTCTTCCTTCGCCTCGTCTTTGCTCTCGGCTTCCTTCGCAGTCGGAGATTCCACCTTCGCCTCTTCTTCGTTCTCTGCTTCCTTCGCAGACGGAGATTCGACCTTAGCCGCTTCCTCAACCTCCTGACTCGGCTGAGTCTCTACTATCTCCTGACTCGGCTGAGTCTCTACTATCTCCTGACTCGGCTGAGTCTCTACTATCGCGCCATCGTTCTTAGTCGCCGACGATGTAGAAGTAGCTTTGCGGCCTGCTTTCGAAACTCCCTTTTTCTTCGCTCCCTTCTTCATTTCCAGAGTGTAGCTAAAACCAAAACGCATAAGAAACAACAGATTCAGCAGCGCGAAGAGGCGAAATGAGAATCGTTCGCTTTCGCAAAAGATGAAGAGAGGTAGAGAGAAAGAGAAAGCTAGGGTTTAATGGCGGTTGGGAATTTCAGGAAATCGCAGAAGACGAAGAGTTTTTTGGACTGTAGTACTTTTTTCTGAGTCGTACTCTGTTGCGTGATTTCAATGCCCCACCCGGTCACAGATCCAGAAGAGGAATATAGAGTTTGTTAGTTTTTTTTCTTCACTTTCCCCTAAAATAAATAAGCGCGGGCTCCTACGAATAGGGCTAAAAGCGTAATTATTCAAATCGTCGATAATCATCCTGCTCTACGTCTGTTTTTCGCTGACGTGTCGCACATCCAACGGCCAAATGTTATCGGGATGTGCATTATGGTTACGGAAAGAGACAAAAGATCCTAAAAATTTGACTTTGATCAAAGAAAGATCCTAAAATTTGTTACCTTATTTGGATCAGTGGTAAATCAACCCATAATTAAAGCTTTTCAACCTTAAAAAATTGTATTAATAAATGTTCTACTTTGCACCAATAGTATTTGACATAAGAAATGTTGTTTTGGGCGATTTGGATAATATAAACTCCAAAACCAGAGAAATTTAGACGTTAATCAATCAATAATTAAATCAATTTAACTAATTTTTAAAAATTTCATCTAGCGACTAATTAAAAAAGGTTGAAAACACTATCTATGGCTGATGATTTCACCTTACGGATCATTAATGGGCCTAATCGATTAGCCCATACAGGCTTAAGTTGCATTTTGCTCATGAATCTCTAGATTCTTTAAGAACTTGAGAAACGAGCTAAGCACATCAAAGTCGATTTTATTATTAAAAATTGATAAATTCACATTAAAAAATGACTATACAAGCCTCTACTGTCTATGACTATGATACAGCTTAGTCTGTATCCATTTTCATTTTATTTGCTTTCCTCTCTATTTGTGTGTGTTTGTATCCATATGACACGTATATGTTTACATGAGCCTAATTGACTTTGCCTCCTTTTCCTGAGCTTGTATTAGGCTTTGGTTTGCTCTTCTGCAACCGCCGCTCTGTGATTTCAACGGTTGTATTATCTTCCTCCTCCTTTATGATCTCCATACTGTCTTCTTCCTCGCTGTGAGATGACAAAAGAGAACCACAAGATGATGATGATGATGATGAAGTGGGTGATGAAGAAGAAGAGCTTTCGAGACCGAAACACTTCAAGAGGGGAATCGTTACTGAAGATCGATCAAAGAACATAGACGGGATCCAATAAGAATCGTTTTCTTCGCCATTTCTCAGATTCTCCATTGTTGATTTCTTGTATTCTTCTGTCGTTTTCTATTTTTTTTTTTTTGAGAGAGTTCTGTTGTTTGTAGTTAGGTTGATGATGGAACTTGGTAACGCAAATGCGAATCCTTTTATAGGAATATATGATCTATCAGTGTGTCACTTAAGTTGTTGGTCAACTTTTTTTGTGTGTTGACCGTTGTTAAGCACAGACTTTGGTGATCTTGGTCAAAGTCAATTCACGCTCTTTGTTTGAATTAAACAATTGTTGGATGTTGAATTGAATTGGTAATACAGAACTAGACCTTTGATTATTCAATTAGATGCCAAAGCTTTTTTTTTTTACGACGGGATTAAAGTCCAAATAACTTTTCTGATTAATAATTAATCACTACTAGTACTATATTTTAGCAGGATAAATGTTTTATTTTTTCATTGGCTTAACGCATTTATGTTACTACTGTTGTGGAGTTGCTGTGGTCCATTTTATAAACTTGAAGATAGTACTAATGATTATTGTAGGGACAGTTATTAAGCTTATTGGCATATGGGTGTAATGAAATGTTGTTTTCTTTCTTTTTGTTATATTTCTTCTGAAAAGAAAATTCATAATGAAGAATGGTAGCAAAGTTGGTAGCTGCTGCGCCTCGTGATTGTGACATTATAATATTTAAATTTTGTTTTATAAAGAAAACAAAAACATTCCTTATTCGTCGAGATAGAGAGAGAGCACCTGTGACTCGTGTTGCTGTAAGCCATAAAGAATTTAAAGATAAGAAGGTAGTTGATTTGCACGCATAGACTTACCGATCAGTTTTTAATGCGAAGCTAACGTAAGACGAACTGTTGACTCTTGAGTAATTAGGTGTGTCGTCTTTAATGTTTAACATTGACAACTGATTAGGGACAGGTACGTTCGACAGTACTGGACCAGTGGTTACGAACTTATGATGACGGTCGAACAATTATGTAGGAAATTTTTAAAAATAGCATACTATAGTTACATTTCATGTACTGGGTTGGCGAAAAACAAATATATTTCATCCATTTCATAAGACAATGTATAAAAGAGACTAATCAGCAGGTTATTTTCAACTCGTATATTGGTCGGGAGAATTAATGAAGTTTTATGTTGTTTTCATCTTGATGACTTGATGAACATTTTGTGTCGGTAAGCAGTTAAATACCATTTATAAATTCATACAAAATGATGCCATTAAACAATTTATTAAGTGCACTTATTAAATAAATAGAATAATTGACTGAGAAATAATTGAACTAGACAATGTTAATTTAAGTGCTACTAGTTATGTTGCCCAGACCGGCCGGTGCTAACTTTTTCCTTCTCCTTGATCTTTGCTTTGACCTTTGTGGCCCTAGTCGTCACAACGACATCGTCTTTCACGCCAACATCTTCTTCCTGTAATTTGCAAACACATTTCTGGATTAATCTACGTGCTAATAGCTTTTGAAACCAACATAAACTCCCTTAATCTAGTCATTTTTAAAAACATAGAAGATCGGATGATATCCCTTAATTCCACGCTTATAATCCCATATATATCCTAAATATACTTTTGACATTTGTTAGAGAAATCCTACCGGCTGGTTTAAAGTTACGGGAGACGGCGCCGTTTTCGTCGTCGTCGGAGAATCATGATGGAGAAGAGTCAGAAGACCAAGACACCTGAAGATAGCTCTAAGAGTTTGGTCGAGGAACTGACAAGGAAACCATCGATTAGTTTCTACTTCGTCTTGTCTCTCTTTCTCCATTGAGATCTGAAATAAAAGTTGTGTTAATCGGAATAAATCTGGTGAGAGGAGTGAAGCTGTATATTCTTTAAATGTGCGCGACTGAGCAGAGAGGTTAGAGAGACAAAGTTTGCGTTTTATAGTGGGTTAACTCGGTATTTGGTATGAGTTTTTTATATTGAATAAGAAGTTTTCGTAAATCGTGACTTTGGAATATGATTAATTAGTCTCTTTCTGACTTTGGAATGTGATTACTGAGGTGTTATTAGATTGGTCATTTGACTCATTTTAATGTATTTTTTGTCTTTTTAAAACAGAGTTAAATCTAGTGTTATTCAATTTTGTATTTTTTAAAAATAGATCAAAATTTATTAAAACCCACTGTTATGGAATTAAATATTTTTTTGATATACTTCAAAATACAACAAAATCCTTCAAAATTAAAGTATTTTAAAACACTTAAAAACACACAAATCCTATCTAAATCTCTTTCCGAATTTTCATTAGCGAGAATGAGCATGTGGCCTTTTAGGCGAGTTGATGACTCTGTTGTCCACGTGTAATTAATACAGTTTATTTACAACAAAAATGACAAGTGCTCTGTCCTACTGTTGACCCCAAACAATTTTGTTTTTTTTGACAAACGAGCACGAATGATGGGTTTATAAATTGTTTTCTTATAAATTAACAAAAACTAGGATCAAATAAAATTTACATTTGAGAAAAAAAAGCTTTAATCGTAGTTAGTATTAGATTTTGTTTTGTTTTAAAATCGAATATTGGTTTTTGACTTTTTGTTGTAGTGACCTACCCTTTATGCTCTTATAATTGCTCTTGTTGGCTTTATGGAATTCTATAATTTTGCTACATATCTGAAGCCACGAGGAAAATGTAAAAACTATTTTATATATAATAGTAGAGTTGCTCTCTCCATCTAGAGTGTCCACATCAGCACAAAAACATTAAATTGTATTTAAATTATTTATTAAATATATGACTATTCATATTTCTTTACATTTATTCATATTTAATAAAAATATACAAATAAATTAATTAATTAATAGAAAGTATGTGATAATTTGATGTTAAAAGTTATCAAAAAGTTGGAATATAAAATAGAGATGGAGTAAAGAAATATTTAACTTCAAATAGTATATATTTACCTTTTTATTCAAAGGATTTATCTATTTAAAAATGTTATAATGTGTTTACAAGTTAAAAAGTTGAATATAAATTAATTAAGATAATAGAAAGCTAATGAAACATTAGAGTTAGAGTTTGTTTTTCTAAACAAATAGAAATGGAGTTTTATATGTAAATTTAATTGTAGTGAAAAACAAGAATATGTTTACAAATTTTAACCTTCAGTCAAATGCATATACATATTTATAAATTTTAACCTTCAATCAAATACATATACATGTTTACAGTCTAATAAAGTAAAAAAAAAGTAAACAAACATAATATTTATAACATGATAAATTTTAGAAATAGAAAACTCGAGATAAAGCGGGGTGTTAATATCCTAATAAATTAAAATAAAAAACAAATTATTCATATTTTTTAGTGTTAGTGGTTGAGTTAACTCAAAACATAACAAAAACATGAAAGTTAATACAAAACCATCATAATTCAAATCAACGAGTATAAATAAAATTAAACAGAAAAACTATCGCAAACAACCCCGCGCTTGCGCGGGGCTTCAAACCTAGTATTTAATAATTTAAGAGCTTCTGTGTTGCTTCTTTCTTGTGGTTGTGACTTGTGAGTTGTGAGTGTTGTGAGGTTACGAGATTATTGTATAAATTAGGCGTTTACTCGTGGAGACTGGCGAAGAAGTCGTGTTGCTGCTATGTGATAATAGATCTTAAAATATTATCGGCTTCAAAATATAACATTTAACCAAAACCTAACAATTGTTAAGAAAAAAATGTACTGCAATCATATGTTGGTTGGTCAGAACTACCTTTCTTTCATTCTCTCTTATCTTTGGACTTTAAATTTTACCAAAATAAATAAAAAATCTGTGGACTTTAACACTCCATTAAAGAGAATGATAACAGCAGTTAATTTGAAGTTCATGAGCGATTCTTTTTAACAAACCAAACATTTGTTGTATGTTTATGAGTTTCTAGAAAAAATAACATTTTTAGAACCGAGTTTATTATGTTGTATATTAAAATATTTGATCTAGTCTAACGAAAAAGAAACCAGTAGTTATATATTTCGCTTGCTTTCTGTAAATTATCTTCTTAAACTTATTTATTTTTTCTAATTTTCCATCAGCATATTAATTTCGTAATCCACTAGAAGGTATAGCAACCAAAACAATTGGTGGCAAATTACTAGCAAAACAATTTTGATAAAAATGTAAATAACGTCAGATTCGTTATACATTAATAGAACTAATAAACATAAACCTATAGTTATTCATTTCATTTTCTATTTATTAACTCAAAATTTGTTGTAGTTTGGGTAGTGAACTCAATTTTTTTTACAAATGTACACAAAATATACACATTGCATCTATATATGACATTGCTGATATTGAACTTCTCTCTCATTCTATTTTTTCCATTTCACATGGCAGTAAGGTGGGAGGAAGACTCTCTTGGGATGGTCGTCGCTGCTTCCACTTCTCTTATTTGAGTTAGATGAATAATCTTTGGAATCTATATTTCCATTCACAAATTCAACAAGTGTTAGAGCACGCACAATGGTAAGTTTTTGTGGGTTTTTTCCCCAAAAAGTTTTTAAAAAAATGACAAGGCAAGATGTTATGTGTGATACCTTTTTCCCGGAAGGAGTTATAGAAACGATTTGAAGCAGATTTCTACATGTGTCATCACACAATTGGTCAGACTTATTTTTTTTATTTTTTTATTCTTTTTTTCGATAATCATTTATTTTTAGTTATTAAAGAAACTCATTTGCAGTATCTCCAGAGAGTAGAAATATGTGTATTCAACATAGTTTGTACATTCTTTGCACGTCTTCTCTCAAAGATTTGAAGGAAGACCATGTTAAAAAATTTAACACTATATAGTTGCCTTCCTTGTGAGCTAATTCTCTGCTTCCGAGACTGTAGTTAAATTTTTTGATGCATATATAGTTGGTTATGTGCTTGAAATATGTCGTCATGTGCTTGAAATATATAGATTCTCAGTAACATGTCCTCATGTGCTTGAAATATGTGTACACAATACATTGTTGTTATCTGGTTCTTTGTATCAAGCTCTAAACATTACCGTTAACACTTATTTTATTTGCAGATATCAACAAGGAAGATGAATCTGAGCAAAGCACCGTGGTCCAAATAACGTTCCCTTTGGACATGCATTTGCAATGTTTGGACGATACAATGTATTTTTTTCATTTTGGATCAAACTCAATGTTCTTCTCCATTGTGTGTCCCTGAATGTTTTGTTTGACCAATACGTTTTTAATTTTTCTATGATTCCGGAAATCTCACAGACCGTGTCATCACATTGTGGTATAGGTATGTATGCGTAAAAAACCTTGAAGTTATATACATAAAAGAGACAGAGAACAAGTGTTACGTTGCTCACTCTCGTTTGACTCAACAGCAGCACGGTGGTGGTCACACTCATTGGCCTGCCTGACCAAACCATCCTATGAACAATGGACCACCACGACAACTACCTGCACAAGCACAAATATGGATGGCATCAGTAAGATATCTCAAAGACTCTCATTCATATGGTCTAGTCTTGGCTTGATGTCGTAAGAGGCAAGTAACGAAGACTTTATCTTCGAGAAACAGAATCTAATTTTTCAATTGTATTCCAGACACTGTGTTGTTGATGAAACGGAAAGTGATTGTGCATCATTACATCTTTTATACGACCAAGTTTTTATATATGGTTACCAAAATCTTGTTATATTTCCTGCAATCAGTCGCTGATTTCAGAAACTACAGTTTACGGTTTTGTAAAATGAAAGAAAAAAACAAATAGCCCAAAAAGAAAGAAAAATCATTGAGAAGTAACTTGAGGAATAAGTCGTACACAAAGTCACAAAGTAGTAGCTGCCATTTGTCCTTTCAAAACACAAAGTAACTCGTACAAGGCAAAGCAAAGCATTTGTCTCTCAAAACATAAATAGATAAATAAAACAGCAGATCACAATTAATCAAAGCGCTTCATCACCGCTTCAACGAAGTCCGCTTCAGTCATCTTCATGAGATCTTTCGGCTTCATCTTGTCTTTCTCCATGAACCAACGGGCCACCACTCCTGCGATTTCATCTTCTGTCCATTCTCCCGTTTCAGCCATTTCCTGGCATTTGTCGAAGACTGCCGATGCTTCATCGATCAGTTTTGCATTCCCCATCGACTTTTCTTCCTCCTGCAAAAAAAAAAAACACAAACAAAACCCACAAAATCACTATCCTCTGTTCGGATTCACCACAAAATCACTCTGTTAATTCCTAAAAGATGCAGCTTTAACTCACACGCACAAAGCCTCAAAATTTCAATCAAAGCCTAAAATTTCAAAGCAGAACCTAAAATTTCGAAATGTTCAACGATAAATCAATTACTTGTGGCCTTATTTACCGAAAGATGCAAGCTTTTCAGTACACAAACCCTAAAATTTCAAGCAAAACCCTAAAATTTCGAAATGTTCAAGGATAAATCAAATACTTGTGGCCTTATTTACCGAAAGATGCAAGCTTTTCAGCACACAAACCCTAAAACTTCAAGCAAGGTCAAAGCAACTATGGGAACAAAATCGAAACAACCTATAACATGATAAATCAAATTATAACCATATAGATTCCAGATCTATGCTCCTAAACTATCCTAGGCTTCGTTAACACCAAAATAAATGAACAAAAACCTGTTTCTTGCACTGGACAGTCAGTTTCACGTTGAATCTGGTTTTCGTCTTGACCCTCATGCCCATGCTGCTCGAAGAACGGGGAGAGGAACTCGGAGAAGGAGGAGGGAAACGCAAAGGAGGAGCTGAGAAAGTAGCTAAAGTAGGAAGAGGAGCCATGGAAGAAGAGTAAAGAAGAACTTCGAGAAGAACAGAAAGGATCTTTCTTCGTTGAACTGAGAACAACAAAAGCTCTTTAATTTTTCTTTTTGGCCTAGTTCTCTGATAAAGGACGAATAAAGAGCACGCTCCCCGATTCCGGACACATTACATTATATTCTGGTCCGTCCAAAAGCAACAAACAATTCGGAAATGAACCGATGTACGACCGGAGTTAACCGCATTAAAATTAATTTAATCACAGTTACAATAACCGAAGAAGAAAAACGAATCCGTTGAGTTAACTCGTTCGTGTAACCCCAACGATTTCACCTTTTCACATTACTTTACAAGTTTCGTCTTATACATTAACAAAAAACAGGTGAAAGGCGAAAATATCGAAAATATAAATTAACAAGTTTCGTCTTATTATTGAGTAGAAGAGAAAGACGGAAACTTGTAAACTTGTTACATTAACGATTTCACCGTTACACATTATATCATCTATAATATCCCGTTAGCACAAAAAAAAAACAAGGTAAGGAATTTGTTTACGTTAGAAAGAGCACCGATCAAAATTGATAAACAGGATCAAACCAATGACGAGAACCAACCGCGCAATATTTGGCTGTCAAGCTCTTTTTCAATTGTTACAAAACCCAAATAGGACTTTAAATGGGCCGAGTTTTTATTTATTTCCGTGATGATTATTTATAGACACTGGCATTATTTATGAAATTGGCATTTTGTTGCTTGATAACAAAATCTTCCAATTTCAGAAACTTGTAATCAATTACTGATACTGTATGTTGTTGAACTTATATAATTTTGTACACCACCTTAAATCACGTAAACACTAGGATTTTGTTATTCGACGCAAACGGACAAAAATGATACAAGATAAAATTGGTATAATCGACCAACCTTGGAAATAAGATCTCACCTGCTATTTATTTCCCTTTTTACGTAATATCCTCTGCTCGATTCAGTACCAATAAAATATTGGCTATCAATCCAAATAAATATTCGAATATATACTTTACTCCTTACTAATTCTTCACTATAAAATTAGGAAATCAAATTATGTCGCTAATAAATATTTGTTTTTAACTTTACCATATAGAACCTATATTTAATCAAATCTTTGTCTCTCTCTCTCTGGCCGCAGAGAATTTCTCGGACATAACTCTTGATTGACCATCCCTCACCTCCATTTTCATCATTTCTCTCTCTCTAATCTCTCTGAAGATAAAAAAAACTTTTAGAGAGAGAAAAAATAGTTCTTATCATTGCCTAAACCAAAAAGAAAGAGAGAGTCTCTGTGATTGATTGCGAGATGGGAAACTGTGCAATCAAACCAAAGGTTCTCAAAGATTCAGACGAGGATCTGATTCCGGTCGAGCGAGAGACGTCTGCTCACCCTGTTCATAACAAGGATACGGCGCCGGTGAAGAGCAGTAACATTGCTCCTAACGCTGCGGAGGAAGTAGCTGCTGCCGTTGCGGCTGTTCGACGGAGCGAGAAAGGGAAAGACATTCTGATTGAAGATGACGAGGAAGATCACAGCAAACGCCAATCTCTCAGTCTTCTGTTTCATGAGGTAACTTTTCCAAAATAATACATTTCACATTAGTTTACAAAAAATATTTAATTTATTGTTTGTATTGTAAATGGTGGTAGAAACAGCATAAATATGACCGTTAATAATTTCACAAGAGACAAAGAAATAGTACATTTTAATTTTGTCTTCCAAACATACAACAATGTTTTAAAACTCATTTAGAAAATCTTCTTTATTTAAACTTTAAAAAAGTGTTGTTAATCTTTATTTCGAATTTCATGTTAGTGAGGAACCAAACGCTATATTCTTTTTTTTTTGAACAACACCAAACGCTATATTCTTGAAGGACAGATCAAAAGACAAAAGCTTATCTTGCCTTCTAAGTTTTAAGGACTCCCTTACAAAACTTAAAAAATAAAGGAAAATCTTTTAAATATTTTATACATATTTATTTCCTTTACATAAAGGACTTCCATTTGATTCGGAATTTTTGTTTTGTTCCCTTTTTTATATCGATTTATTGAGGATTTTTTATTTTTAAATGCAGGACAAGGGAATAAAAAAGGAAATAACCGGTTTATCTCCGGCAAAACCAGAGATGAATAACAAAACCGGTGTTGTTTCTTCAGAGGTTTCAAAGCCTGATACTTCTAACGTCAAAGCGCCAGAAATCTTTGACGTTGAGACTCGAAATGATCTCGAAGTCAAGATTCCAAATGATTCTCCAGTGAAGACTCCTGAAACACCTAAAGCTAAGGAAGCTGAAGACCAAGAAGTTGATTTTTCTGAGAACTGGGAGGTTAAGTTTCCAGAGGAATTAGAAGCCAAGAAAACATCAGAAGTTGTCAAGGTTTCAGAAGATTTGAAACATCCACCAGTTTCAATGCCAACTGTTCCTGAATTGTCTGAGGTTAAGGTTACAAAAGAGTCAGATGTTCCTAAGGACTTGGAGGATAAGAATGTTCCAGAAAGTCCTAAAGTTAAGACTGATGAAGTTAAAGTCGCAGAGTCAGAGCTTCTAAAGGTTTCAGAGGTCAAATCTCCAGAGGATTTAGAGATTAAAGTTCCAGAAGTTTTTGAAGTCAAGACTCCTGAAACTACTTCGAGTGTTAATGTTACAGATGACTCAAAGGTTAAGACTGATGAAGGAGCAACGAATGTTAAGATTGTAGAAGAGACGGAGGCTTCAGAGTTTGTGGACGCTCCAGAGAAGATTGATAAACCTGAAGCTCAGGTTGACGAGAACATCAAAGTGACAAAAGATAAAGAAATTGCGTTGCCTAACACAGAGGAAGGAGAAAAAGGTGCGTCTTCGGAGAAGAAAGTCAAAGAGTCTTCAGTGTCTGATTTAGGAAACAAATGAGTTACAAGAGAGAAATTAACAACCAGGAGTAGCTAAAAATGATACTTTAAAACCAAGTCATGGTTTTTATAAACAATGGTTTAAAAAAAATGGATTAAGCATTTTTTTTAGGCGATTTCAATTTGTGAGTTTGATATCTCTTGTGTTTTATGATTTTTTTTTCTTCTGTATTTTTATTATTATTATGGGGGATAAGAAGTCTATTTGCATGTCCCCAATTTGTACACTTTAAAGATCGATTTTCCTTTTGGAGAAAAAATAAAGAAATTTTGGTTTAACAATTATCATTATAAACGACTTAATAGTTCATAGATATAGAAAAACAGAGTTGTTGTTTTTATGACTTTATGGTGGAAAAACTAAAAGACAATGTAGTTAAAACTTTAGGATGTTTAGCCGGTTGAGCAAATCTATTAGACATTCCATACTACTGTTGTATTAGTCGGAATCTAGTCATTTCATTCCATCAAGTTTATGACAACATTTTCCATACTATAGCTTTACTATATGTTTTCTTCTTTGCTTTAAAACAAAACATATGAAAAGTTAGAAATCACTATAAGATAAAGTATATATAGAGAGAGTACTACAATCTGATCCGGTAAAAGTAGTTAAACTGGTGGGACAAAAAAAAAATTAAAGCAAAACTATTCCAGACTCTACTTTGTGAATGATTAGTCACATATATTATAATAAGACTAGATTTTAAAGCACATACTGTATATATAAGACAAAAATTAACACATTCATTATTTCAACTAACGACAATCTTCACTTCATTGCAAACGACATCGCTTTCCTTCTGTAGATCAATCTTCTCATCACCACGGTTTATCTTCTTCTCTCTACTTTTTCCCCATAGGACACAGTAGAGTCCTATAATCAACAATAATCCACCTACAATACTACAAAACATAAACACTTACATAAGTTAAATAGTTCAATAGATATTATACATTAAAAATGAATTTAATAGAGGATTTTAATTAGAACCTTCCAAGACTGATGATCTCGCATAAGAGAAACGCTGAAGAGAGGATAGTGAAGACAAGGGACAAAGGAGTGAACATTGATAAGAAGACAGGTCCTCTCTTTTCTATAACCCATGATTGCAAATAATACGCTACGCCTGTTACAATGAATCCCTGCACACATGTCACATTAATATTATTAGTATTCGATTGGTATTGTGCACCTAAATACATAAGTAAATAGCCAGAGTTGATTAATTTACGCAGTAAATGACTGCGACGAGTCGTAGGTTCCAGCCAAGCTTCCATGCTGAGATATCTCTCTCGAAAGCAATCGCGATGACGAAGGATTGAATGGAACTCAACAGACAATGAAGAGTTGTGAAGTATAGCTTCGAAGGATAGACCTTTAATACACGACCCTGATTATATACAGTATAATGAAAAAAGGTGTATTAAAAAGTCAAAATACTTATAGTATGTGTAAAAGATATTTAAAGACATTTATAATTATACACGTGAAGTTCCATCATCCCTAAACATTCATGTAAAATCAATAATATGTGTTCAGCATGTGTCTTTGTAAATTAATTTTCAATTGACAATGACAATAATACATCACAAAAGAGTGTTGATTTATCCTAATATTCTTGGTTACGGCACGTCTTACTAAATTTAGCATTAACTAATCAACTAAGCAAGTAAGCAATATGAAAATGTATAAAGAATTTTTGATTAGGTATACCTGCAAGACTAGCCAGAGACCCCACAAAATGTTGGAGATGACCATCATGACACATCCTTTAAGCCACGAGGTGGAACCACCGGCAATATTCCGGTGAGGATGTTCTTGGCCGTGATAGAGGTGAGGGCATATAGGTAATTTCAGTAGTGGACCTTTGTAAAGGGCTAAGGTGATTACCCCTCCCATGCACACAGCTATCCCCACAAGCTTTGTTGTCCCTTGTATGCTCTTAATCTTAAGCGTCTCAATTCTTAAAATTTTTACACAATAAACGAGTGTCACTAAGAAATAATTAGGTGTTAGTTAAACGTGTGTAATTAATTGATATATCTTGCAAGTAATCATTACCCAAGAAAGAGAGCCAAAAAGAATGTGATGGCCGGAAGGGAAGCTGTTGTGGCGGCCGCCAAAGTCGCCGACGTATATGATAATGCGACTCCGTTTAAGTCCAAACCCAATGTCACCCTGAATCCCAACATAGATATAGTTCAAATAATTATAAGATGCACTCATTTTAATGAGTTTTTAATTTAAACAGAAAATAGTCGTTTAACATAGCAAAAAAAAGTTGAAGAAAATAAATAAAAAATGCACATGAAGCAGACATACCCAAATAAAGAGAGCATGAAGATCTTGATGAACGTCACAAATGAAAGAGGTGGAGCACTTTTCCTAAGGAAAACAAAAAATAAAAAAATACAATTGGTATATATTTTAAAAGGATTGTACATACAGATCTATATGCAAAGGAGATAGAGAAAGAGGAATATATAATAGGCCTGTACCGCTCGAAGAAGAAAGCAAGAGGAGCCAAGAAGATGGTAGCGAAAGCTTGACGATAGAAAACGAAGACGAATGTGTTCATTCCGCCATTGAAGACAGCTTTGGAGATCAAAAACATGATTGCATATATGAGTTGTATTACAGTAACCACCATGTATGGTTTCTTCGTCTCCATGTCCATCGATCGATAGATTGATGATTTTTGGTTTGAGTTCTTGGGAGAAATGGGTTACTATTTTTTTTTCTTTGTTGTTAAAGATAAATGGATTACTGTTTGTAGTGTTCTTCTTTGAGTTAGAATAAGAAGCTAAGTGGGTATTTATATATAAGTAAAGACACACAAGCACACACGAATTTGCTCATTTCTACGGTGAAATTCGAAAGTAGTGGAACAAATATTTAAAAGTACGTAGCTAAGAGTGGAGCAAGAAAAAAGATGTTACTTTTGTGTCACAATCTCACCATACCAACCAAAATGATTTTAGATGTTGACTAAATACATTTGTGTGTATGTTTCTCGCGCCTTCCGTCCATTAATCACCACACCACATCTACTATACTTACTTTACTGCACTGTGAAATCGTAGATTCGAAGAAAATAAAAACTGCTTAATGAAATTATTGAATCAGCGAGTACAAGTGTACAACAACATGTTATTTTTATTAAAGAAACATGTGGACATTATATATGGCTTTAGAAAAAACTGGTTACACGATTCAGTGAAATTGCACAATATTTTCAATTGTTATGCAATTTTATGAAAGTTTGACGACTAACAAACAATTACGTCATTATATTGTTCCTCGGATTGATATATTAAATGGCTTAACGATTCCGTTATTCCACCTCACGAATTAATATGTCATTCATTGTTACTCCGACTCCGATATCAAAATATCTAGCTAACGTGTGTAACATAGCTTCTCTTTTTTTTTGGGTCTAAATGCTAAGAGTGTGTAATAACGTTCATAACTGAGTTGTCATTTCAAAGTTGATTTGTATCTTGATTGATTAATTGAAAAATTCATGCACTTGACTAGTTGAGAAATATTTTATCAGTTAAAGTTTTATGAATTAGCAATTGCTTGCCTACAGGCTACAGGATATATGATTTTCTAGACTCAAGCATGATCCATAACAAAGACGCCTAAAAATAAGTTGCCCCTTCGGGGATATATCCTAAAATCTAAAGACTACTAAAGATAAGTTAATGATATAATGTACAAAGAAATGGAATCAATTTAAAAGAAACCGTAAGAGTTCATAAAAGGACCAATGAGAGTAAAGTGTTTGATGACCCACAGACATGTGGTTTAAACGTACACAAGGCAAAGTAGATTGTGATTTGTGATAGTAAAACACGAACGTCCACGTCCTCACGAGTTTTGGCCATGCAAAAATAATAAATTAAGACATTACACATAAATTATCCACCAATATTATAATTTTAGCTACTATTGTGTTTTTCCTTTTTGCTAAATTTTTCTTTAGCTTCTATTGTCCCTTTTCCCTTTTTCTCAAATCACATTTTATTATTTTGGTGTACATATATAACATGTGTTTCAGTGTTTGGGCCGTTGAAACCAACAAAATAAACCTGAAAACTGTTTTAAATTAGTTTTTGCATATATGGACGACTATCTTTATCCCTATCTACATATATCTAATCAACTAATAATGATTGTGGACTGATTGTATTTGTATGATAAAAAATCTCATAATCTTAAAACCAAAAAGGTAAAATAATCATAATCAGTACAATTGTACAAACCACGAGTCAAACCTCGCACGGACCTTTTCTTGGAGAGTCCCCGTCGAAACAGATTTGTCATATTATACCGAGTTACTTTAACATTTTTACCACACAAAAAAAAAAAAATACCGAGTGATCTACATGACATATTTCTCGATAGTCCATACGTAAAGCTGGCATTTAATTATTTATCAATATTAGTCCTATTTTATATTTCGATACATGTCTCTTTTTTGTTACAAATTTCACTTACGATCAATACATATATATCTTCTCAAGTGCTACTCTATTGTTTAATGATTATGCAAATTATGAGAGGGATGAATTCAATGAATATACGCATCTCCAATCTTTTTCTTCCTAAAATTTTAAAGTGAACCTACCGTCTAAAAAAATAAAGTAAAAAGACGATTAAAGAAGAGAAAGCAAAACAAATCATGGTTTGGTCAAGTCAAGAGCTATCGTTATCGGCATACGAAAGAAAGAAAATTTTGAATCACAAATTCTGAAATTGTAACGTTGTAGTTATAGTACATGCATGCTTCAATCTACAACCCAAAAAACAGATGGCCGAATGCACGTGTCTTTTAATTGGGCCAAAACTAGTAGTTTCTTACGTTATGGGCCTTATACACAAGGGCCCATATTGAGTTAGTAATCACGTGATGTGCATGTGAGCAAGGGGGTTTAGTTTTGTTTTCTCTCTACTTCTTCTTCTTCTTCTTCTTCCCCAGCTTTCCTGAAATGCTAAAACCCTCGGCTCACTTTCGCCATTACAATCACATGAAACCTCTCTTTGATCTACTCACTTCCTGAGCTTATAATGCAATTCAGGTCTTCCAAATCTCTCTTCCTCCGCCTCGCCGGCTCCTCCTTCTCCGAGCATCCACCGTCTCAGTCGCCGCGTCGAGCGATCTCCGTTCTGGTCGCTAATTTCTCATCTTCAAATGTAGTCTCCGGGTCCAGCTCCGGTCAATTTACATCGAGGCGTCCTCAGAAAGACGATGACTCTCGGGGTGTACGGGTTTCAGTGTGGTGGAATTTCGACAACTGTAATTTGCCAGCGGGTGCGAACGTCTTCAAAGTAGCTCAGACTATCACAGCCGCCGTTAGAATCAACGGAATCAAAGGTCCCATCAAAATCTCCGCTTTCGGAGACATATTGCAGCTCTCGAGAACGAACCAGGAGGCTCTCTACGCTACCGGAATCAGTCTCACTCACGTCCCTCAAGGTCAATCCTTTTCTAAAAAAAATTCTCCTTTCATGTTTCATTTGAATCCAAAACTTATGGATCTGATCTCGCAGGTGAGAAGAAGAACAGTACGAGTAATATGTGTCTGATTACAGATCTAATGTGTTGGGTTGCTCAAAACCCACCTCCTGCTCATCTCTTCCTCATCTCTAGCGACGGAGGTTTAGCGAGTGTGCTACACAGATTGAGGATGAACAACTACAACGTTTTGCTTGCCGGCGACGAAGAAACGACGCCAGGTGTATTGTGCAGCGCTGCTTCGATAATGTGGGATTGGAATGATTTAGCTCTAGGGAAACATTCGACATGTAAACACTTTAACCAGCCACCGGATGGTCCTTTTGATTCTTGGTATGGTCACTATAGAACCCCTCTTCTTGACCCTTTTGCCACATCTTCCTCCACCAAGCAACAAGCTTGTACTACTATTGTGAAAACCGAAGATTTGCTGGAGACGAATTCAAATCCTAATTCGGTTTCTTCTAAGGTTTTTCGTCCTGTTCCGGAAGAAGTTGTGAAGGAGATTGGTTTGGTGTTGAGTTTATATCCTAAGGGAGCAGCCATTACAGACTTACGTGAGCAGCTGAGGAAGAGAGGTGTATCTTTAGATAAAGACTTTTATGGACATAAGAGTTTTTCGAAGTTTTTGTTATCTATGCCGGAGGTTTTACAGGTTGTTCCGAAGGGAGATGGTATGTTTCTTGTTCATGCTTGTAACCAGGAAATGGATAACAAAGCCTCCTCGCCGAAACTAAGAAGCGAGGATCCCAAAGTTGTTGTTAGTGTGGAAAAGAGGCATCAGAAGGTGAAACAGATTGTTGGAGATGTCAAAAAGGAATCTCAATCACAAGAGAGTTCTCAAGAGTCTGTTCCAGTAGTTAGTCAGATGAATGTTGAGGCAAAAGAAGAACCAGTGAAAGAAACTCAGCTAGCTTTTACTCCAGGGGATGATGTTTCTTCTTATAATGAAAAAGATGGGTTTTTGAAGAAGCTAAATAGACTATGGTTTGGTTCACCTGAGATTGTTAGTGAGGATAAGGACTTAGAATCTGTTATTGCATCTTCCACCTCTAGTGAATCTGCTAAGGAGGTTAAAACAGACACTGAAGTAGGCAACGAGCAATCTAAGAGTCCAGGGCTTTTAAGTCGACTTCTGAAGAGATTTAAGTTTTTTGGGGAAAGAAACACAGAGCTTAGCAATGCAGCAGCAGAAACTGAAGCTCAAGTAGATGACATCTTTGCAAAAGATTCGTTTTGGGAAGATGTTGAGTGTTTCATTTATTCTCCGAGAGGCTTCGTCGTTGTTTCTCACTCAAAATCAAGGTTCTTAACTCTTCTTTTTCCCTTACTAGTGTCTCTGCATTAATCCAATTTATGGTAAGCTGATTTGTTTTTGTGTGTGTCAATATCTGTTCAGAGAAGCGTTGGCTAAGAATCTTAAGGAAGAAGGACCTTCATCTCTCAAACCGCTAGATGCATCCAAAATGCTTGATTTAGTGTCGATGTTAGTATCAGAGAAGAAATGGATCAAAGAGAACCTTTATGATGCTCTACCTTTCAGAGTAACTCGGTTCACACAAAAAGGATCTGGTCTCAATAACCACCCTAGTGCTTCGAGTGGACTGAGATCGATATTTGTGAATATGTCAAAGACGCAATGTGACGACGAAGAAGCAGATGGTGAGAAAACCTCCAAGAACATTGTTGGTATAAGCCACTGAAGAGATCAAGAAGCGAGGTACTTGATGATTGTCGTAAGCTGATAAAGAAGATAACAGAGGAAAACCCTGGAGGTTACAACATGGGTAACTTGAGGAAAGACTTTTTGGAAACATTCAAGTACTGTTTGGATTATCAGAACCTTGGTTATCCGAAACTTCAGTCTCTGATACAGATTATGCCTGAAGCAAGGATTGAATCAGGATTCATTGTTCCTTCGTCAACGCCGGTTCCTTATCAATCTGACTCATCGCTCGGAGAACTTGGTCCAGAGCCATCTGTTTCAGAGTATGAAAACTCTGACTCTGAGGAGGCCAAAGAAGCTTCTCTAGCTCTAAAACAGAACGGTGGCGAGAGGAAGAAGAAAAAGGACTTGGAGAGCGATTTGCTTCAACTTATGGGTTCTTGGGACAATGATGAAGATGTTGAGAAGAGTTATGCTTTTGGTGAAGATAAGCTTGTTGATGGAGTTTTGAAAAGCTTGAGGAAGAATCCATCAGCTGAGTCTAGAATTCAAGGATGAAGGTGACTGTTAAGTTAACCCGGGAAATTAAACAACGGTAGCCAAAACATTCCGGTTTAGGTGATTTTTTGTTGAAATTCCGGTTTGTTGATTGGTTCTACGGAAAAATAGTGTAACGGTCACCAAAATTGTTTTCTTTGAACCATCTAATGTTAGGAACAACGAAAGAGTAACTTTTATTAACTTAAAATATAAAGAAGAATACGTAATTTAATCAAGTTCCGGGTACGTGTAATCATCAGGAGGAAAAGCCAAAGTTTCCGGCGCCGGAGACGGATACAATTCCGGTTTCTCCGACTGAAAATCACAATACTCTCTAAGATTGTTCCCTTCCATAGCTGTAAGTCCTAGAGAAGTAAACATAACGGACCAACAATCTTTGACAATCAACCCAACGGCTCCACAACAATCTTGGTCTATTCCACCAGTAACCCCCGGTTCCATCGTACCGGTACGGCTAAGGAAGAAGTTGACGATCTCGTCGGTGCATGACTTTAGCTCCAACGCCGCGTTCCAACAATCCATAAGGTTTCCGGCGCCTTCGTGATCGTTAGCCACCGTGGTGGTCTGGAGGCTCCTTGCCTCAACGACGGTGATGACGTGGACGGACGATATCAGATATGAAATCGTCAGAAAAGTGAAACGGGAAAGCTTTGAAGTACTGTTAGTGGCCATTGTTTCTTCTTTGTTTTTGTGTGTGTTTTTGTGTTGGGATTAATAAGCGATTATATAGTGGAAAGATAACGAGGGAGATGAGAAGTTTTTGTTCGTTTAATTTTTGATATTAACTATCTCAAATGATCGTGGTTAATTAATTAGCCTCTATCGTTATGGCATTAATCTCTTTCTTATACGTATTGGTTACCTCTTTCTCCATGGACCGACCCAACACAATTGGGCTTTATCAAGCCCATTTATATCAAAGTAATTATTAAGTCTAACGTCGTGACTCTGTAAGTTTCAGGTGAGAACAGAGATGAGTGCGACGACGGAGCTGCCGACGAAAGAGGCACACGTGCTTAAAGGACACGAAGGAGCGGTTTTAGCGGCGAGGTTTAACGGCGACGGAAACTATGCTCTCACCTGCGGAAAGGATCGAACAATCCGCCTGTGGAACCCGCACCGTGGAATCCTAATCAAGACCTACAAATCCCATGGCCGTGAAGTCCGCGACGTTCATGTCACTTCGTATGAAATCTAACTCTTTCTCCATCTAGAGATTTTTGAATTATTTGTGATTTCGATTCAAATTTTGTTCAGTTTAAGTTATTATAGTCCAAGCTTATTGGATTTTGTTTTGTGTGTGTGGATTTTGTTGTTGAGCAGCTTAAATTGAGTCCATGACATTAGGAGTTTGTGTTTCACTAATGTCAAGCAAAATAGAGCTTGATGAAGCTAATATGGCAAATGTGTTTGTTAATTCAAATTTCAATGACTATGATCACAGAGACAATGCCAAATTCTGTTCATGTGGTGGTGATCGGCAAGTGTATTACTGGGATGTTTCAACCGGACGCGTAATCCGTAAATTCCGTGGCCACGATGGAGAGGTAAGTAAATGTCTCAAAAACTTGGAATCTATGTCGCTTATTAAGATTTATGCATAAATTAAGCACTTCTTCTTCTATTTTTTTTCTGAACAATATCTTATCTTGACAGGTGAATGCAGTGAAGTTCAATGATTCATCAGCTGTAGTTGTATCAGCTGGTTTCGATCGCTCTCTACGTGTATGGGATTGCAGATCTCACAGTGTTGAGCCTGTTCAGGTTTTTGCTCCTTTCTTTCTTTCTTTCTTTCTTTCTTCCTCATCTTATATTACTTTAGAACTAAATCTCTTTATTGATGGTTGTTTCGTCAGATCATTGATACGTTTTTGGATTCAGTCATGTCTGTTGTTGTAACAAAGACTGAGATTATTGGTGGTAGTGTAGATGGTACTGTTCGAACATTCGACATGCGTATTGGTAGGTATGTAAAAAAGTCCATACAAGAAAAATGAATTTGGTATTGGTTTTCCTTCAAAGAATCGTAATTACTGATTCGAAACTTCGTTTTGAATTTGGATTTCAGGGAGATGTCAGATAACTTAGGACAACCGGTAAATTGTATATCGATATCAAACGATGGAAACTGCGTTTTAGCTGGTTGCTTGGATTCTACTCTGCGTCTCCTTGACCGGTAAAACCAAAACTTTATGTTGAAAGAAAAACAGTAATTTTCATTTGCAGAGGTTGTCTTAATTCTTATGAATAAATCTTTAAAAATGCAGAACCACTGGAGAGCTACTCCAAGTCTATAAAGGTCATGTTTCTAAGGTTAGTCATTAGTTTTAAAGAGAAATTATGCTTAATTTATATATTAGTTGCTAACATTATGATTAGACGACTAATGACATTTTTTGTTTTCCATTGTTTTACAGTCATTCAAAACTGATTGTTGTCTCTCTAATTCGGATGCACATGTGATTGGAGGATCAGAGGATGGATTGGTTTTCTTTTGGGATTTGGTTGATGCAAAAGTGGTATCGAAATTCCGAGCTCATGATTTAGTGGTAAAGATTCATTCATTCTCTCTTCTTCTTCTTTTGCTTAATCCGTCTTTTAGCTTTTTTGAAGCAGCAATGATTTTGATTTGTCTTCGACTGTTTTGTTTTTCTATCTTGTGGCAGGTGACAAGTGTGAGTTACCACCCGAAAGAAGATTGTATGTTGACTTCTTCGGTCGATGGTACAGTTCGTGTCTGGAAAAAATGAAGAAACAACCAAGTCCTGATTTTTTTGTTTGTTAAACTTAAATGTTTCTTCCTTCTTGTTTTCACTTTCTATCGTTTGGGGTTTATCGGATTTGATCTTGTACAATAGCCCGGTTAATGAAGGTGAAATATTATGTTGTGGATTTAACTGTATGAGAAGTAGCGTTTTGTGCTTGAATGATTCTAAAAGCCCAATTTATAAAAGAGAAGGCCCGTAACAAGAAAGGATAGAAAAATATACAAAAGCCCATTTATAAAATGAGGGGGAAAAAGGTAAAAAAAAAGTAAGTGTGGCTGCTGGGATTCGAGCCCAGGTCTCCACGGCCACAACGTGGAATTCTTACCACTAAACTACAGCCACTTTGATGGTAACTTTGCAAATGTCTAAATGATATATGTAACTTATTAAATATTTGATTGACCATTAGGTTAAACTTGGGATCAAGTAAAAGCCATTTTTGCTAGATCTCTTCTCCATACTTTAATCTCTCGAAATGTAAATTGAGATCGGATTCTCCTCCCAATCATTCTCACGTTAAAAAAGACAACGAAACATGAAATTCTGATTTTGAAACTTACAAAAGAGAATCACATAGCTGGAAAATATGGCGTAGTGGTGAAGACGAACATGGTAATGTGGCATATTAAGACCAATCTTTTGCATGTGTTCTTTCACATATTTTATTAATTTATTCTCTTATCTGCCGTCCCGTTATTTTATTCTAATACATAGACAGATTCAACAACAACTATAATACTTTCCTTCATCTGTAGTATTACTTTTTAGTTTTTACCAGTTGTTAGGGAAAAACAAATGAGAATCTACTCTCAATTCGATTTTAGTTTTGACCTTTTAACTAAAAAGTCAAATTTTCGTACCCGAACCATCTACTCCGGTCCGAATCTGATCACGCGACACACGGTTACAGAAATGTTCTAACGAGCCAATAGTGGCGCGAGTACATAATAAAAGAGCTGTACTCCCATAGTTAAAAACTGGCGATGAGCTGTCGAAACGCAAAGACCTAACGTGACCGCTGCCCGTAAAAAAATCCCAAACGCTGCCCGAAATCTGAGAGAGGAGAGTTCCTTAGTTCGGACCAGTTTAGTAGTCTTTAGACTTTTTTTTTTGTTGGTTGTCTAAAGTACAACAAAGCAATCTCACAGCTGTCCGATATTTGTTTTTATTCATTTTAAGATTTCTTTGTGTTTCTTTTTCTAATAAATTTGGGTTTAGTTGTATAAATTATGGCTTTTCAAATTTATTGATAGTTTGAAACCATAAATAATTACAAAAAATCGTATCGATGGATAGTGCATGTTTGGACATTTTTTAGACTATTAAGAGGTAAGAGGTATAAGAAAATTATGACTGAATATTTTACATGTGCAACTAGCTCAATACATATGTATTTCTTAAAATCCTCTTGAGAAATTTTATGAAATACACCTCTTAAGATGCAAATTTTCAAAACTATTGTAGAAATTTTCAAAAATACATTTTTTCCTAATTTTAATATATATGTTTGGGTTCACTAATCCTACATTAGGGTTTATATTTTGGGGTGTAGGGTTTAGATTTAAGGGTTCAATGTTAGATTTTAGGGTTTTGAATTTATATTTTAGGTTTTAGAGCTCTTTTACTAATTGAAAATATTGTAGTTTTGAAAATGGATATTAAATGTATTTTTGAAAATTGGCACCTCAAGAGGTATAGTTTTGAAATTTCCCTATCCACTTCGTGCATTTTATTAGTATCGTTTTTCTCGTATTATTGTACAGATTTACGATACTTAGGAGTATGATTTTACCAATCTTAAATTTCTTTTTATGGACTCTCCACCGACAAGAGAGTTTTCATTCGGCACGTTGCATTCACTATATAATAAAGCTAATAATTAGTCATTAAAATTTAATTAGTATTCCCTCCTAACCAGAGTTATAATTTATAAACAAATAAATGTAGTATCAACTAAAACACCAATGTAGAATTATAAATTAAGTATCATATATTTTATTTTTTAAGGTTATATAACATGTTACCATTGGGAGGACATCGAATAACCACATTCTTACTTTGAGTTCACGTCGTAAATATGCACTTTTCGGTCGTCAATAATAGAAAAAAATAAATTTTAAGTAACCTCCCCCTAAAAAAATTGCCAGCGTAGCACGTAGAGAAAGGAAAATTAATTATTTTTAAAGCTACTCATTGCCCACTATCTCGCAGTTATGATTACACTTTTACTAAAAACAAGTGGTAAAATAACGACGAGTCAAAAGTCACCCCAACACGTGTTTAGATTGATCATATCGTTTTAACGAAAATTTATGTACACGTAACGAAAATTACTCTTTCTGTGCTTCGACCAATATACATAATTACATTTGAGTTTCCGTTTAGGGAAATAGCTTAGCTTTGTTTAGAGTATATCTTCTTTTTTCTAGCTAGGTGAATCATTGTTCTTTTAAATTCTTAAGCAATGACACTTTTTTTGTTGGTTAAGAATGACACTTTGTTTCTAAGGCTTCTTACGTTTTTTATTATTGTGGAATTTGATCAATTTAATTTTTTCTTAAACACAAAATGGATCCAAAGTATTAACATGGAAACAAATGACTATGTGATATAAGCTGTGACTTTTTTGTTTTGCTTAAAGAAACAAGACAACTATGTCGCTATGAGTGTTTTACTTGTCTATCAAAACTGTTTTCATTTTCAATCAATTGTAGAAAATATTAATAAACTTTAATCTTTGAACTCGTTACGTCAACATTTAACTTAATCCAAAGAAGAGCTCGAATAAATAGTAATAGTGTGGTGTGGTTCTTCTTGGTATTCGCTTATTCATAGCTAAATGTTTATTTATCAGTAGACTTCGTTTTTTTTTTCTTTTTGTCGCTATCTTTGTAATATTCTGTTAGAAACCAAATTTGATATAAATTTATACATTAAGCCTATTACTACTATACACCTAATATATTTATGCATAATGGACACAGCGGATATTCTCGACTCAAAAGTTGGACTAAATGTAGCAAGCAATATCTATGCATTATTACAATATTACTGTATATAAAATTTTATTTATTATTTCGATATATATATATATATGTGCATTTGCTAATTATGAAGCGTAAATATTTGCGCACCTTAGCCTTTGCGTTCTGATTGCGTAATCTTAAAGTGAGCACAATTTTTTGACATGAAAATTAAAGTGAGCACAATTAAAATTTCGAGAGATTTTTTTTTTTTTTTTTTTTTTTTTAAACGGAGAACACGAAAGAAAAAAAAAAAGAGACATGTGAACGACGACAAACAAACCCCACATAAAATGGTGTATTCGCCACTCGTTTATTGGCTATTTCCTGCGTCGTTCAACAAATGGATCGCAAATTCGACTGCAGCTAGCTGAAGCCGGAAAATAAACTAATCATAGGTTTGATCAATGACATTTCAGTTTTAATTAAATATCTTTAGATTTTAATCATTTTACTATTATAACTAGATGGCTTGCTATGCGTGGAATTAGATTAAACTGTAAATTAGCTTTTCTGTATATCAAATTAATCAGGTGATTTGTTTAATTAGTTTGTAAACTATATTATAAAATGCGATTACATGATATTAGAAATTAAATTTCTTACCAGATAGTTAAACGTAAACAACCGGCCAACCGGGTCCTTTAATTTCTTACTATATTATATACGTAAGCATACAAAGTAAATGTTTTTTTTTGTTCTTCCAGTAGTCTGAGAAATGAGAATAAAGATAATAATAAGAAAAAAATATAAGGGCACCGACAGTTTCTATATGAACATGTGGCACGAGGGCTTGGAGAAGACAGTACACAGCATTCAATCAATCATGAAAATGACATTTGATGTGGTAACCTACTAAAGTTCGCTCTTTTTATATACATTTTATAATAGAAACAAGTTTCCAAAGCAAATATTATTATTATTATCTTTATTTCTCTCGGGTATCAATATCATCAACAAGTCAATAAATAAAATATTTCTACAAACAAAACTAAAATATTGGTAAGAATATTGCTTACATACATCACGAACTATTTGTCGGCAAATGTATACATATAGACATCATACATGGGCGTATATATGTGATGTGATACCGATAGTGTCAATAATTGTACATTTTCTCTCATTTAAGCACGGCGGAGAGAAAGTTAAAAACAAATTTAGCAATATGGCGAGTGGAGCCGCCGAGTTCAAGTAAAAAGACCTAAATATCAATTCAAACCAGGTTTTCTAAAAGTGTCAGACATAACAAAGAAAAGCTATAGCAAAATGAGACCGAACGCAGCGAATTGAATTGAACAATATAATTTGATCAACGTTGAACAATAACGATTGGATTAAAAAAATTAGTTATTTTTCGAACATTTCAAATATTAATTGGTTTGCTCGATAATCTAGACGTCCACGCGATATCTTGAATTTGCATTTCTTTTTGTATAGGTCAACATATAATACACAAGACAGTAAAAACCCTGCAGGACACACACGATGCTTACAGTTACAGACAGTGATAAATGTCTAATTATCCTACATCCGTTTCTGAATAGTTCGAAGTCTTTAAAAAACAAAAAAAAAAAAAAAACTGAGAGGAATTTATTACACAGCAGGAGCAGGACAATAACTAAGAATTTGATTTTTGTCATGTAACTTTTTTTGTTACGTTAACGTGAATCTTCCTTACATATACTATTATCTTGCACATGTTGCAAGAACGTGATTGTACGCAGACGCATAATTACAAAAAGAATAAAATTCTTCTGATAAAATATAAAGCATTGGCTATTAGTTGGGTATATTTTATTGAGAGAAAACAAGAGTGGTTGTTAACAAAGATGAATAGATGAATCCATTTTAAACCGTTCCGAAATTTATATATTACATCAAAAAGTTTTATTTAACTAAAATCAAATATGACCGAAAGTAAACCGGATAAAACTCCATATAAACTATACTCTTTGC